TCGGCTGGAGGTTTAAATTCGGGATTCCTTCGTACAGCTTCCTCGATTAATTTATGCCTCTCATCTTCCAATTTCTTGCGATATCGATACTCTCGTGTATTAACACGTTTACCCTGAGAATCGTAAACCGGTTCGGGAGATGCTGATCTTAATTGACCAAAAAAAAAAATTTTTATTTTTTATAAATATGTATGTTGTAAGTAATTAAATTCTTTTAATACGTAAATTTTGATAGTATAAATTACCTTTCTCTTTCTGGTGGAACATAATCCCCTAATCTTAATTTACGACCAATTTCCTCTAACCTCATGTGTACTACGGGAAATAAGACAATGAATGGTCGATTAACATGGTCAATTATAATTATTATTACTGTAAAAGAAGACTTACATAAATACGTATCCAATTGTTCTTTTGACATATTGTAGGTAATAGCAGTCGGAACACCTATATCAACTTTTGATTCTTCTCCGCTCCACCTGCTTCTTCTTTTGCGCCTACGTCCCTCAGCAGTTCCATCTGAAATATTCCAGTTAGTTGAAGAAACGGTGTGGCACGATTTAAAGAGTTCAGATTTCATAGGAAAAAAAAATTAAGTGAATAGCAAATAACGAAACGCAATTTTGCACATTGTTAGTATATGAATTTTGGTTAGAACAAAAATAATCTGTTAAGTTTTATTAATTGCCCTGTCAATCATTGGGTTGAATTGCAATTATTATTAATAAATAGCAAAGTTTTATTCAATGAAGCAAAATAAAAGCAAAGCAGTAAGCAAAAAAGTAGTTACTCGCTAAGAATTATAAGCACACGATATAAATATATAGTGTTGAAATTATATATGGTTCAAAAACAAAAGGGAACAAAAAGTCCTAGATGATCTGGTCTAATTTATACCTGTTTGTTGATCATGTTCTTCGTTTGCTCTCTTGAGCGAATGTCCAACATTTGACTCCACTTTGATTTCTTTCTCCTCGACTTCTTCGTTAGAGCCTCCTAACCTTCTTTTTCCTAATGGAATGTTATTTGTGCCAGTGATTGAAGGTTTATACATTACGAAAGCATCAAAAGTTCCTTTACAAACGCAAAGATTGATCTTATAAAAGTCAACGTGAACAAAAAAAAAGGTATTAATCTGGATATTTATAGCCGATCACCTTTTTTATTCGGATTTTAAAATCAACCAATCAAACCATTTTTTATAATAACCCTGTTTAATTTTGATCAGATCAGATCAGATCAACCGCAAATTTGAAACATAGCGTTTGTGAGAAATATAAATAAAATTTTTGATATTCAAATAAAGTTTAAAAACTCAATCCATGTAAGTATGAATAATTTATACATAATATAAAATTCTTAGATTGTATAGCAGGAAAATTTGCCTGCAAATTGAAAAAAAAGTATTAATTTCTTAGTAATATAGTTTAATATATACAGTATTTTATCAACTTTTATTAGATGGCTCCTAACAAAGAAAATATATTAGCCAAACTTTAGAATTGGATTAGAGAGATATCTTCACTGTCTTTTAAGAAACAAACAAGTGTATCATTTATCTATCACCTTAAAAAAATGTACAAGAAATTATTTGTGTTTTAAGACTAATTTTTCAGAATTATAGATCAAGAAATATGGCAAATCTGATCCTGTAAAAAAGGCTTGCAATTTTAATAATGTGAAGAAGTATAGAGAAATGCAGATCTAATTATATATACTAATACTCTAAAGATAAGAGTATATTATATTAATTTTAAGTTTAAATAAACATTCTGTATCTTTAATAGTTATATAAAAACAAATACTAAAATGAATTAAATGTTATTTTGCATATGATACATTAATTTTTTTTTTTTTAAAGTTTCAGTATCTGACACTAGAAAATCATATTACAATGGTACTATTGAGGTATAAACTTTGATTCATCTTAGGTCATGACTAGACTCAAAATCTAACCAGAACCTGTTTGTAAATACTGATCTAAGATCTGTCACCTAAGTCAATACCCTCAAGAACTAACTCTTCAAAATCCTAGAATCTTAGAATTACTATCAAATTTGAATAGAGGGATCACTTTCAGTTACAGATACTTACGTCACTTGTTTTCCTGTACTTATCAACACCATATCTGGATTACTATTATCTCTATCCGGTATTAGGTATTTTACACATTATCAGAAAGGCTTAGATATTATTATCTTATAAAATCTCAGAAAGGTAGGTGACTATCATACCTATATCATCAAATTCATCTGGAAATTGAACCTAGCCTCTACTTCTAGTAACAGCTCGATTAGATAGTGTTGCAGTAGTATAATACAGTCTATTATCACTATAGTTATCCAAAAGTAGTACCCAATCTACTAATTACTGATTAACCACTTTCTTACTTATGTAAGGGTCCCTAAATTTAAAGATGTGAGATAGTATCTATTACAGACCTATTAGCGAAAACCAAGTTTTTGTCAATCTCTGATTTATTTGTATTCACTTGTTCTTTAAAACCTAGTATTTAGGTATGATCAACATTGATTGACAGATCGATCAACCAGTTTCTAACGCATATTAATATATACGCTTATATATTCAATTACATATGAAATTCATAAGAAAATCATCTAGTTTTATGCTTTAGCTAAGACTTGAACCTGTGGTTATTGCAGTGTAACCTATAATAGGAGTTCAGTTGTTACTAACTGAACTAGGAATGCTGATCCTTTTGTATATAATACATTAAGAATTATATATATTGTATTAAGCAAAGATCATCTAATATCCTTATTACAAAAAAAGAATTATTTAATAGTTGTTGGAATGTCAAGTATAAATATCTTCTAAAATTTCAGAATAGAAGAATATTCTAGTCATAGATTTTTTTATCTAAAATAAGGATATACTGATTATTTGATTTTGAGTGGCTTATATATTAGAAAAAATCTGTTTCTAATGCTTATTTAGTTAGAGAATAGTTAATTTTTTCTGAAAAATAAGTATGATAATTTCTATTATAAAAATTATTTTTAAGTCTGATAAAAATGTTATATCATTATCTTAAATTATAAAAATTAATTTCTTAATTATTAAAATAAGAAATTAATAGATATTTTCAATATTATTATTATCAATTATAAAATTATTAAATTTTTAGAAAATAAATCAAAGACATTAAAAAAAATATGCTCTTTAGATCAATATCATATTTTAGATTATTATAAAATTTTACCTAAATTATTAACTGAAAACTTCATTTTAAAATATAAAAATTATAATCATATGAAATAGTTTAGAGCTTATAAGCAATTACAAGATACTGATATTAATAATCAAATAACCTATTGAAGCTATCACTTATAAAGATTATAGAAAAGATAGATTTATAACTATTATTGAGTTAAGAGACATTGAATTTATTTATAATTACTAAAAAATTGTATTTCTACTAAAAATATAAAGCTAATGATATTAAAAATATTTGAATTCTTCTAAATTATTATCATATTTTCAAAATTTAGTTTCTAAAATGAAATGAGTTTCTGATAATATAGATACATTATATAGTACTAAAAAATCAGAATTAAAAATTATTTGAATGCAATTTAATCTATTAAATTTAACACTACATACAATATATAGGTTAAAATTTAAGGTTATAGACAAAAATAAAAAATATTATAAGCTAGTTGAAAATTTTGATAATAAAGAGATTTTTATGTTATCTTTATATCAAATCAGAGAAGAAATTTGTTAGATAACTATAAAAAATAATCAGTAAAGTTATAGTAGATTTTACCTGATGAATTATTAATATTACTAGAAAATAGTTTATTAATGACTGTAATGATTTTTAGTATATTTATTGATTTTGAATAAGTTACATTTAAATGCTACTGACAACCAATTGAATTTGAACTTCAATTTCTATGTTTTTTAGAATCCTTATTCTTTTTTGGTTGATATTGAACTGCTTTAATACATTTATATGTACACTTACATATAATATTATAATCATCAAATTTAACTCTTTTTTTTCAGTATTCAAACCCTTTTTGTTCACAATACTGCATTATGAAATTATCTACTTCAAATGATTCAAATGTTTGACCTTTTTGAAGAGATAAATCATCCTCTTCACTTTCTGTAAAATTGTCAGTTTCATTGAGATTATTTGAACTATTTCTTTCAAAAAGTGCAGCAGGATTTGGAGAAGACATATAATCATTAAAATATTAAGTAAATTCAGAATTTATATTGCAAATAATAAATCAATGACAATGGAAAAGAGAAAAAAGTTTTGTGATTTATCAAATGATGAAGCTTATTAAATAGCGTCATAGCAGGTCAGATGAACCTAACTTCCAGTGATTAAATGTTAACATCCTAAAATTGATGACGTAGAAGGTTAAAATTTTACTCATAATAACCTGGAGTTAGAATTAGTTTTATTATATTAATTTATAAATTAAATTTTATTTATTAAAATGTTTAGATAATAAATTTTTAAAGTTTAAAAAATTATATCTTATATATAAATATAATATAAAAGTTATAAATTAAATAATATTAATTGTTTTTAATTGAATAATCCAAATAGCCATCGAGAAAAGAAAAATCAATCTTTATTACTGTAAAGTATCCTTTTAAAAATTGCAAGAAATAATATATGTCTGAAATTCTTATTATAGTAATTTTTATTATAATTTATTCAACAATATTGTATCTATATATTATATTTCAATGAGATATTGATACACATCTAATCCTTTGTAATAACAGTTCAATATTATAATGTATAAAGAAACGAATCGTAAATATTAGAAATCAAGTTAAATATTCAAAATAATCTAAAAAGGATTAACGATAAAGTTAAATAAAAATTAATAGTTGGTTGAAATTATAAGCATTTAAACTTACCATGAACCCGTCTATGAACAACATTTACTATTCGCCATGAAACTAATTTTGGCTATTCAAAACGAGAAAAAGAACATATAATAATATAGTTACTCTTCCTTGCGCAACCTTCCTTTCTTGGTAGGGGGTTCATAGAATGAACAATCATAAAATGTAGAACGTCCTTGAAAATTCAATTCATTTGATCCATTATATCGTCTTTTTAAACTATCATTTCCAGCAAAGATACCAATTCCTCCTTCTTGGCCCGTATCAATGCAATCAATCTCGCGCTGAACAGGGTTATACATAACGTGTTCTGGAAGGGAAAAATTAAACGCTTCATAGGTATTTTCAAAAACGGCAACTGCAGTTGGAATGTTAGAGGTTGGACATATTTGAACATTGGAAGTTTGAAAGGTCGAAGTTTGCTCAGGCAAAAATTGTTGATGATGATGGTGTTGCGATTGTTGTGTCTGTAAACGAGCATTCATTCCTTCATCACGACATCTTCGAGATACGGATTTTAATTGCTCTGTTTTAGAATTAATGAAAATGCACAAATCTTGTACTGATATGAACGCGTCTCGTCCATCTCCAGTTGTTTGTCTTTGAACGCTAGGATGAGAAGAAATGAAACCCATTAAATCTTGTAGACATTGTCCATATCCGGCATCATGATATTTTGTTTTTTGATTCAAAGAGGTTTTGTAGAGTTGTGTAACAGACTCAGCAGCTACACGAAAGGACGCCATTAACGCAGCTTCAGGTGATTCTTCAGGTCGTCCTCCATTGTCGGGTGACTGACCAGACTGTTCCATACTGTTGTTTTTTACGCTTTGAACAAGAAACAGGATGGTAAATAAATTATAAATATGAATAAGTACAGTAAAATAAACAAAAACTTTTTTTACACTTTTAACGCGATTTAAGCTCTGTAATTTAAAATCGGGGACAGAATTGACAAAAAATACCAATATTTATAATTTTGTCGGTATTATTGTACTAAAACACGTGATTTGATCAGGTATAACTTGCTTATTATGGTAAAAAATCAATGATCTGGGTAATTTACCGTTTTCAGTTTTTTTTTTAGATTAAATCTTTGTACAGTCGAAGTGGTCTATAACGAATTTCTTGTATTCCGAATTTCATGGTATTGCGAATCACATGAGTGGTACCAAATTATATATAGTTATATAATTTAAATAAACCGAATTTTTCTAATAAATTTTACTATAACATATAACGAATCAGTGATGTAATACGGATTATAGTAAAGTATAGTAAAA